TATTTTATTTATTTTATTTATTTTATTTATTTTATTTATTTTATTTATTTTATTTATTTTATTTATTTTATTTATTTAAATTATTTTTTTACTTACCTTTAAATTTTGTTGTTCATTAATATTTGGATATAATAAATCAATAGATAGATGGTCTGCTACAAGCAATTTAAGAGGTTTTTTTATTTTTTTCATTTTTTGCAACATATAATATGTGCTATTTTATCTGGTATCAATATCTAATTCAGGTTGCTATTCTATCTGGTATCAATATCTAATTCAGGTTTAAGGTATTAAATTCTTTTAAGTTTGCATAAGCTATATAAATCATCACAAAAATGTGTTGATATTCTAATTTTTAACATTAGATTTCAGACTTTTCTATTAATGAACAAACTATTTTTAATTTTTGTTTGGCAGCTAGATAAAGTATATAGGCTGCATAATGATAATACAAAAATCTAATTCTATCAAATTCATTTGCAATTCTTCTGTGATTAATTTTTTACAAATAATCATTGCAGATTCATTATCTGTTGTAAGTGCCAAGATTTTGTCTATGATATTAAAATTAAAAAGGAGGTTACTAATAGCATCTGCTTTATTTATACCTGTATATTTGCTATTAAAAAGAATAATATCCAAAAGAAAATACTATATTTTCTAATTAGAATTCACATAATAAATAGTAACACTAAAAAATGCTTTAAAATTTCAGAATATTCACATATTAGTGGTCAAAGAAACTTTTCTAGAGATTCTTACAAGATTATTAACCACTCTATTCGCCTAACTTCAAATTTATCAATGATTATTGTTTTTGCAGCTTGTTGTGTTAGAACTATATATACCAAGAATCAATTAAATAGATAAATTCATTAAAATGTTGATTCTCAATGATGGTAAAGGGTTGTTAGTTAGCAATAACTCAGATAATCAATTTTTTGTCTCTTTTTCTTTGCTTATTATTATTATATAGATCTATTCTAGAAAAATAGAGAATAGTTTGACATCATGCAGATGCTGTAATTTTATATTTATTAAGGTGCTTTTATAAGTCTAAACACCAGTAGTCTTTAAAAAAAAACTTGTTTATACTTTCAGTATACAGGAACTCCAGGATTGGCAGCTATTTCAGTATCAAAATAGGCCAAATATCACTTTGGAATAGCAAATCAATAGTATTCATTACTTGAGATATTTGAATATTAGTATCAGACATATTAACTTTGTCAAAGAGATCATTAATATTTTCAGAGCTAAAAGGTATATAATTTTCAGAAAGGTTGGGTTCTGTTATTTTTTTTTAATGAGAAATTAAAAACAAGGATGTGATATATATATTTTTTATATATTTTATTGTTATTGAGTATTTAATTTTATTTTTATTAATTTTTATTTATTTTTATTTTAGATATTAGCTATGATCAATATATTATTTTTCTTTCTAATTGCATTATCGAGTGAATTTTTTTAAAACTACGAGATTATTGATCTTTTTTTTCAAATATAATTAATATAATTGATCTATTTTGGTATCTTTTATTTTTAGTGATCTTTTTGTTATCATGATTTATCTTAAATTAGCTTATTAGTGTATGCACAATAGTTATAAAAAAATTTTATCAATTACCATGCTATTAACTTTTCTTTCTAATTGTATTATCAGAAGAATTTTTTTAAGGCTATGAGATTATTGATCTTTTTTTTCAAACATAATTAACACAATTAACCTATTTGGTATCTTTTATTTTTAGTGGTCTCTTTGTTATTATGATTTATCTCAAATTGACTTATTAGAATATACACGATAGTTTTAAAAAAAATTGTATCAATTATCATGCTACTATTCATGAGATTCGGGTTACTAACTTGTATTGGAATATAGATCCTTTTTTCTTGTTAAAAACCTTTTTATCGATAAAAGTAACAAGAAGCATGATTAGCAAAATAATATCAAACTAGTTGCTTTAATGAGAAATTCAAATCTTAAAAATTCAAATTTTAGAAATTTAAATCATAGGAATTGTAACATAATATCCAAACAATAATATATAAAATGCGAAGTAGCACTAAGTTTAGTTATTGTACAGGTCTAATGTAACAACCCGTGCATTATCTAACACTTTAATTATAATAATCAATTAATAAATTTGATTAAATTAATATATATAATTTGATTAATAATATAAATTGATAAAAGTAGTGATTGATTTTAAATAAAAGCGAATTTTTAGTGATCTAAAATGATAACTCTCTCTTTTTTTTAAAATGTCGACTGATTTACAAGAAGAAGTAAGAAAATTATCAAATCTCTCTAAAGTTATCAATACAGATAAAAATACTGAGAAATGGCTCTGGCATGTAAAATGCTATATAAAAGAACACAATATTCAAAAAAATTTGGACCAGTTCGATAATAGAGAAGAGCTTGACGAATTTTTAAGCCTGTTTATTGTATGGCTAAAATAAAAAGATGAAAAACCTTTTAAAGTAGAGTCAGTACACAACTGCCATTCAGCTTTAGCACGATATTTGAAAGAGAATAGTATGATAGTAAGTGGAGTACATTTATGAGACAAATACTATTTTCCTAAAGCATTGAAGTGTCTTGACGGAAAAATATGATTCTTACAAATGAATGGATATGGTAATACAAATTCAAGTGATATTTTAACTTCTGAAAAAATTACTGCCTGTTTGAGTTAACAATATTTAGCAACTAATAATAATGAAGGATTAATAAGATGAATTATTTTCTGGCTATCATTATTATGTGGGCTTCATGAAGAAGATACTTGTAATCTACAGTACTGCAATATTGAGTCTTGTGCAGATGGTGGGCTACAGTTACATTTCTGGAAGAAAAAAAATAATCAAGGAGAAGTTTTTCATTGTCAATGATATGGTCATACTGCTACACGTATAGTTCTAATTCCTCCTAATAATAATGAAAATCAGTTTACACCAGTAAAAGATATAATCTTATACTTGTCCAAACGTCCTGTTGAATGCCAAGAAGCTAATCCTCTTTTTTAGAATGCATCAGAAAAATATCAGGTTTTTTTTTATTTGTTAGGCATCAGTTTTTTTATTTAAAGTTTTGCTATTATTATATTTTTTTATTTAATTTGTTACATTAGATATTAAAACGGTAAATGGTATAAACCTTCACACATGGGCGTAAACAAACTTAAAAGAATGTTACATGATATCACTACAAATATTGGAATTAATCTTGCAGATCGTAAAATTACAAATCATTTAGCTAGACGAACTGCGATTATGCTTCTCAAGGCATCTGATACACCTGAAGATGAATTGATGATCTTTTCAGGTAATCGATCATGCGAAGGCATCAGGTTCTATAGTAAACCCACAGATAATCAACAGTTAAATTCTGTAGCTTCACTAATTTCCTTTGCGACAATCAAAGAAGATTTAGAAGAGTATTATAATTAACCTGGGGAATCATATTTTACATATGAATTAGAAGAAGAGGAAAACATTGAAACTGATAAATATAAAATTTTATCTACGATATAATTATAAATATTTTGTAGATTTAACACTAATATTTTATTTATATAGACGATAATACAACTTCATCTGAAATTCTTGAATGTGAATTCGAATCTTATTCAGAATGTGGTACAACATATATCATTATTTATACTTCGCTAAAATTCGCTAAAATTTATTTATATATGTATCTTAAATTTGTAGAAACTTCTATTGCTACTATTACAGGTTCTGAATCAGGAATAGAAATTTCTTCTAACAATAGTATATCTATCATTATTGCAATTTATATATTAAATACGAATTTTTATTTTATTTTTTTCATTTCTATTATTTATTTTTTTTTTGCAGATACTTTGAATTCACTTGAACAAGCTCCAAAGCGCACACGTAAATCAAACAAAACTTCAAAATTTCAGCAGCGTAACTCTAAACTTTTTTCACCTTTAAAAAATCAAGTTCCGGAGATCAACAACAAAGTTTTCAACAATCAAGTAAATTACAAAAAGATCAATTACATCATCAGGAAGTTTCGAAAGTGTTAACTAACAGGGTGTGATATGTTGTTTAACAAACCCTATATTGGTTAACACTTTTTATTAATAAAATTAACGTTAAACAATAGGGATATGATAAATAGTTATTTGTTGACTATTTATCACACCCTATTATTTAACACTAATTTTATTAATAAAAAGTATTAACCAATATAGGGTTTGTTAAGCAACATGTCACACCCTGTTAGTTAACACTTTCAAAACTTCCTGATGATAATATGCAAAATAATCGTATTCAAGAGGATCAATTAGATATTATGCAAGAAAATCACATTCAAGAGAATCGGTTATTTATTATGCAAGAACGTTACATCTAAGAGAATCGATTACATAACATAAGAGATGATTCAATTATTACACAAAATTGCCCTGAAATTAGAAAACCATTTGAAACTATTACTTCCAATATTATATTACAAATTCCACCTACTGAAAAGCCGATTACTTTAAATTTAAATCTTACATTTGGAAAATAATGTCTATTCGAATATAAATAGTTTTTTATTATGCAACCTAGTTGTTACTTTGTATAGATACACTTATGTAAAGTAATTCACATAAATAAAGATTTTACTGCTTGCGTGCTATATTACTAACCCGTACAATTTATAAAAAAAACACAATTTTAAATGAATTGAAATAACTAAATCGGCACACCTTCATATTTTTCAAATATGAAAGTGTGTCAATTTAGTTATTTTTCAAAACACGTGCTAATAAATTAGTAAAAAAAGTACGGGTTGTTACATAAGACCCGTACAATAAGTTTCTTTATTTTATTAAAGAATATGTATTTGATTTATGATTTCATTTATATTCTTGTTTTGTGGATTTAATTTAAATAAAAAAAATATATAATACGATTTACCCAAAAAAATCAAATTTTGATCAAATTTTGTATTGAGATTTCAAATAAACTATATTCTAGCGATTATATTATATGATTTTTATAATCTTTATTACTTATACATAATAAAAAGATAATCACAAAACAGTAACGAATATAGAAACTATCCTGCTTGGGTTGTCAGGGACCAGTAAATTTTTTAACCTTAATTTAGTGTTTAGCAATTAAAGGTTATACACGAAAACCAATTCCAGTAAATCGATTTTGACTGAAGAATATGCTTGTAAACTTTATTTGAGAACAAGTTTTCTGCAGGTTGAAACTCTTTGTTACTACTGTCATTATTTTCTGCTTTAAGATAATGATCTCGAAATCGAAATGCTATTGCATATATTTACATAAATATACAGTATTAAATTATATTATTATGTAATCGCAGAATTTATTATAGACGGACTGATTTGGACTGGTCCCAATTTATGGACCGTGGACCGCTTAGACCGGTTCAAAAGACTGGTTTAGACCACGGTCCTTGTCGGACCGTAACATCCCTAATCTACTGTATGGGTAATGTAGCCCGAAGGTTGGTTTATAAATGTAAAGTCAGGTGATCAGAGCAGCATTAAACCAGAGAGTTTAAATAGGGGACTTACAAGCAGGTCTCAGGGTGGAACCCTTGAATATAATAATGACTAAAGTTGTATGTGTAGCTTATTGTACCCTCATTGATATGTTACTGTAAACCTTTCTGTCAAAAGTACGGATTGCAGAAACTTTAATAAAGAACTCCGGTCATTTTATAACTTTGTTTTTTTAAGAAAAAGACATCTAAAATCGTTAAGGATCTTGCAACAAGCATTAACTCTGAAAACAAATATAAATTTGTAGTTTTGATAAGTTATATAAAGTTATGAAATTTTTTATTAGCAATTGAAAAGAATTTTCGAACGTGTCACTACACAAATGATTTATCCAATGCCGATAATTGATATGCTGTGACTTAGATATTTAGTTTCTTTTTAATTGCATTAATTTATTTCAAGTATAATGATCATTAAACTACAAACTACTTTAGCTCAAAATACTGAATACAATAGGTGGTGCGTTAGTGACATATTGATTAGTATTATATAATTAATTTAAAAAGGGCGAATCAAGAAATGTAATTAAAATAGGTTATAAAAATATTAATTACATAATTATATTAAGTGACTATAGAGAAACTTAATGGCATTGATATAGTTTTAGTTAAAATATAATTCTGAACAGAATAAGTAAAATAGCTAAGAAATTTTGAGTCGTAATGATTCTGTAGAAATACATTATTCGCAATAAAAAAAAAAGAATTAGT